ATTGAGCAATGCCAGACCAAACTTCCCGACCTCAAACGTTGTGGGCGGGACTAAGTTCGGAATGGCACCCAGGCTATCGCATTACAACCATTTAACTACTTCAACATGAGGATAGCATACGATCGCAAATACTAGATGTTACAAATCCAAAAGAACCAAACATTTACCAGAAGCCAAACAGACAAAAAGAAGGAAAGGCTCTTTGGCACGTTGATTCGTAATGGCTAAAACAGGGAAAAATGATTTAAAAAAATTGAACGAGAACATGAATCAGAGTTCACCTTTGCTGCAGCTGAGCTTTAACCAGTTAATGAGTCCAGTGTCTGTGTTGGGGTTTGATTGATTAGAGCTAACACTGTCTACCCACTGTCTATGATTGAGCGCTCTGCTGTTGACAGGGGGTGCAGGGATTTCTTCTGTCACTCACCGGATGGAGGGAACAGTGACTCCATGAATTGCATTGATTGATGCAGTTTGACAGGAAAGAGGAGAACGGGGGCCAAGGATTCTGGTTTCTGATTTGGGTTCTCTCCATCAGTGGAGGTGTTGGGAATATCAATGGTTCCTTTTAATAAAAAGTTAATTTTCTTTATTTTCTTTCTCGTCTCAGCCCAGCAGAGTATGGTGTGTGATCGCATGTGTTCGGACGATGGCTGCTGGGGTCCAGGGCCCGACCAGTGCCTCTTCTGCCGATACTTTAAGCGAGGCCGGACCTGCGTTGAATCTTGCAACCTCTTTGATGGGTGAGAAATCCTTTCATCTTCCAAAAGACTCAAGAAACAAACTCCGTAGAAAATAAACTTCCTTTTATTTCTGCACACCAGACACCTATGGTTTCATGAAGCCACATTCATTTCTCTCAGCATGTGACATGCAGAGGAAATAAAATCAACTGAAGCTCCTTTAATACTCAGGAATGAAGTCAAAACATCCTCAAGGGCTCTGAAGGAGGAAATCTAATTGCAGATTGGTATGAATGTAATGAGATGAGCCAATAAGGAATTACACCGTGTAAAGCGTTGAAGGAACGTTTGGTTGGATGTTACATCCATCGAGCAAATTCAATTTAAATACTGTAGATGTTGGAGGATTAGATTGAATAAGGACCCATTTAGACTGACAGATTTGAATACTTACTGCTCTGGGCTGAAGGCTGATTGGAATATGTGACTAAAACCCTCCCCAATTCCTACTTGGAGTAGATCTTAATTCATTTCTGTAACTAATTTAATGTCTGCTGTACTTATTTCCTTCCGGGTTTGATTTGTTTTATGCGTATCGTCATCAAACAAATTTTTAAAACCAAAGACTACCTGAGTAAACCCGGCATGTAGATTACTAATGCCATTCTTTTAATGCCAATTGAGGAAAGCAATCCCAGCCAACGCGACCCAACGGAAAGACTAAATAACTGAGTTGTTTTTATCGTGAATGGACTATACCAACGCACCAAAGAATCGGACAAAAACTATGTCTGGATATTGACTACGCCATTTCTGATTGAAATTACATAGTCATTTCCTGACATTGACTACTCTCCAGGAATGACAACACCATTTCCTCTGATTGCTTTCTGCTGAGCTAGTCAGAGAGAAACCCTATAGTTTGCTTTTGATGTTTGTCCTGTAACATAACAAAAGTATATTTGACGATATTCTTGGGTGTTCTTGGAAGAGGACAGAATTTGTGTTAGTAAAGATCACCTAGATGCTAAAGCAACAAATGTGTCTCAAAACATTACACTTAAACCAGCAAGTTTGCACAATGACATCTTTTTTCATACAGAAAATATTTTCTCGATCATCTTAAAGATTGTTTTTCAGCAGCATTATATGTGTTTTTTCCTTAAGGTTTGTATATATTCTGTTTTCCCCACGTCCTGTTTTTATTAAATCACAAAAAAATGCCTTAAAGAACAGCGGTGAAGACATATTGTTCATCTATCAGTGTGAGGAAGGTAACAAAACCATTTTGAGACTTTAGGGATCCACAGTCAAAGTCTTTATCCACACATGGAAGACGCATAGAAGTTGAACTTTCCTAAAGAGGGTCACCCACCAAAATTACTCCAAGAGCACATCAGTTATTCATTCATGAGGTCAGAAAAACCCTGAGAGAAACTACTGTACTGTGATTGCTCCAGTTAAAGTTCTAGAGTTTTTGTAGCAGTCCTGTCCTCTGGTGAAGAGCGGAAGCATTTCCTGCTAAGGATTAAGCATTACATAAGCTATATCTCCTTTTTTTGGTCACAAATATAAGATTTCTGTTACATCTTACCTTTGTAACAAAACAAGTGGCAACTGCAGATGCTTTTTTATTTCCAGGTGAGAGCTGAGCACTCTCAGTGTGTTAAAAGCGGCTCCATGGTTACTATCGTTTTATTCCGTTGCCGATCAGACCACATTGTTGCCCTTTTAGTCGCTTTAGACCAAAGTTTTATTTTCTCCGTCTTAAATGGAGTCTGTGATGGGGTTTTAGGTGTGATTCCAGTCACCTATAAACTTTCTCTAATGGGTCAGTAGTGATGGAGACTTAACAAAGCAGCTGGGTGAACGCCCACGCCCAGACTATCTAACCTCAATCACTCTCTCGTGAACTAACAAATCGAGCCTGAAGAGGCAACTGTGGCAAATAGAGGAAAACTTCTCCCACATATTGGGCAAAAAAGATATTTAACCTTTCAACCTGCATAATTCTTCTTTGAATTATTTAGTTTGGGTAATGGTGTTGCTCTTTGGGATCCTGTGGTTAGACAGATCCTGCTAGAAATTTGGTTTTATATATATATATATATATATATATTTTTTTTTTATATATATATATATATATATATATATATATATATAGTTACTTCCACTTTACTGTCGGTAAAGAAGCTCTAACATAAATGGATATTTAAAAGGAAAGAATTTAAGTTTATTGTTAATTTACTCTTATAATATGGTTGGATTCATGAAAACATGTATGGTACTGATCTTAGAACTCAGACTGTTAAAAGAAACATGTGAGAAAAATTATTAATAATTCTTAAGACAATAATATAGGACCCTATTAAAACATCGAAATTGTGCCGTGAGTAGTCTCTCGGTTAAAAAAAAAAGCTTTTCTAGAGGCTAACCCTAAATGAATAAAGGAGGAACCGTTTTGAATGAGATCTGGTAGAGCAATCACACCAAAGTAAACCTTCCCTAGCAGCCCATCGTTTTGTTTCTTCTCAGAATAAGCCGTGATATGAAGCTTGTCTTTTCCCCTAGAGAGCAAGTGTATGTGCGTACAGAGAGGGTTTATGAGAGCATGCAACCCTTGGTCATGTTGACTCGTTGCCGGTGCTTTCCGGTGCCGTTTGTGGGAGGGAGGCTTTGAAGTTGCCAGGGAAAAAGCAGCTCACAGCGAGGCTTTGAAGAAGACGAGGGAGAGGCTCGTGGCAGGGAGCTTCTGAAGCATGCCTGCTTTCTGTACTGTACATACAGTGAAGGCATGATACTGCCAGGAGTATTCAGAATATCCACCTGTTGCACCAGCATTGAATTGCCTCATAAAATATCAATAAATGGGGGTGTTCTATACCCTAAAGTTCTGTTTGTGTGGTAATTGCTAGCACCACCTTGCTCCATTTACATTTTAGGCTAGGTGAGGCTAGCTGCCACTTTCTTTGGTTTTTTGACCACACTTCTGCTACAATTGTAATGAATTGTATGGGGGCAGGGTTACGTTTTTATAATGAGATTAGTTCAATTTTAAGCCTTTAATTAAAGATTGACAAGCTACACAATAAAACACTCTTATCATCCAATGAATTCAAATATTATTGCAAACTGACAGATGTCCAGAAGATCAACAACTTCCCAAAGTGAGAAATACTACAACTGTTCACAGAGAAAGGAGCACTTTTTCAGACAGTGTTGTACCTACACATGTTCATGTAGGCAGTCGAGGAAAAGAGATCTGATGTGGGAAGACGTGCATCAGTAAAAGGGATAACCGCAGCCTTAAGAGGATTGTTAAACAAAATCCATTTAGGAATATAAGGGGTACTTCAAGGGCAGTGGACTGAGCCAGTGCATCAAGGGCCACATTCCTGGTGTCAATCCAGTCCCAAATTGCAGACATCAGAGGTGTCTTACCTGAGCTAACAAAAAAATAAATAAAAAAATAGCTGGATTGTTGCCAAGTGGTCCAAAGTAATCTTTTCAGATAAAACTAAAGTTGGCATTTAATCCGAACAAGGAGTGGAGAGCCATAGAATCCATGTTGCATGAGCCTGTTTTTAATTTTTGTATGTTTGTGTAGCCAATACAGTCTCTATAGACATTCTAATTAAATGTTGGTTGACAAAAAGGTGAGCTGCAGTCGTCCAAATAATTAAAAAGAAAGAGTTTGGGTGATTTCCGATTATGCTGGTGAAGATTCTCAATCATCCAGGTCATAGTCATTCCAAAAAAGTTCACTGGACTTTGTTTCCAAGTTTGAAGGCTTTTCGCCTCCTAGTATCGGGTATTGCAGGCTAACAAAGAACCCAAACGACTCCCCATTCCTAAGAGGCGGACCTGTTCTTCTGGTTCAATTTGCATGTTTTCTAAGCCAAAACAAGGCTTTGTTTCGGGCTACTCTATAAAGCTTAGATCTTAACGCTAATTGTAACATTTTGAATTGAAAAAGCTTCCAGGATGGGAAGAGAATTATCTTCAAACTTAGAAACAAAGTTCAGTGGATTGTTTTTTAACTCTATTGGAAGGGATTTCTTAGGATGCCAATGTGGTATAATCAATGTTGTTTTTATCAACAATGACGAAATGATTTTGTTGACGGTCCTTCTTTCATGATGATAACAAAAACAGACGAGCTAATCATGGATCTTTAAAGACAAACACAAGACAACTCATTGGTGTGAGTTTCCGTCGACGTAATGAGATTAACCAAAAATGTTAGCGGGTCGTCTGTTGGAAGTTTAAAATGCATCATTTTTTTGTAATCTGCTAAGCAGTGTCAGCCGTGCTGCTGTGTCCCGTTAGGTCATGCCACCCCCCTGGTGTGCAGCCGTGCACATTCTGCATGACCACAGAGGGTCAATGACAGCAGCAGGATGGATGAAAGTTAATAGGAATGGTCTGGTACTGCACGCTTAACTCTAACAACTCTGACAGCCCTTCCAGCTTTGCTTGTGCAGAAATGTGTTGCTTAGCTCTGAGTCTTTGCTTTACCCTCCATACTGATGGTCCACACTTAGCAGTATGGCTCTTTCTGCCCCCGCTACTTAATAAACTATATGTGGCTGATCATCCTCTGCCAAGCGTAAAAAAATTATTTTGTCTATCAAGATTTGACTTTACCCAGCTCATAAGAGGCGATAACCTTCTTGTATTTCTACCAAAAGGAATCTCTAATTATATCCGAAGCATATACTTAATTGCTTAGTGTTTATTCTTGGAAATAGGCCCTGATGAAAAGTCTCATAGTTCTTGTTTCTATCTATTTGAATATTTCAGAGTTTTAGTTCACATATTTTTGAAATTTAGGTCCAGATTGCCACGGCATTAAAAGGCAGTTATGTATTTTCTCTGTGGAATTATTTATATCAGACCCCTATGAATTTAAATCTACTCTGACAACTGAGCAGCGGTGACCAAGCTGTAAGTTTTTAGAAATTAGAAAGAGGAACGTTTTTGTTCTTTGCTTTTTTTGGGAGTAAAAAAGCTTGATTCATTTGTGTGTAATGCATAATTCATAGTATCTCAGGAAGTTTTTGCTTTTGGATGGAAACGTTGTATGTCTAAAACCATTCCTTTATTGTAAATTTTGTCAGCTTGTTTGTCTGCTATTTTAACCGATATGATGTGCTGCACTGCATCTGCTATTTTCACAACTTTTTTGAGAATCTTTTTTATAAAAAAGGGCATTAATTCATAAAAAAGATTATTTTTGGAAAATAAGTTTTCTGCCCAACAGCAACGATGAATGGCATGGCAGCATTGTATCTTCAGCAATTGTAATATCTAGGCAAGAGCTGTCAGTCTGGTAAAGAATCTGGTTATTTGGCACTAAAACCGACTAAAACTATCACATATCGTAATGACCAAAATGTGACTAAAACTAATAATAGTTTTTTGTCTTCAGGGCAAATATTTGGATTTCTACTAGGCAGAATTATTTTTTATGTAATGTGTTTAAATAACAAATGTTTAATGGGAATTGTCAAATATTTTGAACCTAAGTGGAAGGGTTGGGATTTAAGGTAACAATTTTTTGAGGTAGAACAATGAAGTACAACACAATAAGTTATTGTGAATGGAAGAAAAAGTTTTCAAACCAGGTGCTTTTATGCTAGGTAGAGTAAACTCCTAAACTCTCCTCAGTTTGGCCTTACTTACGAGTAAATTTGGTCAATTATTAGCAGAGGCTTTCCTTCTCTAAAACCTGAACTTGTCTAATAAAAATGGAATTTAAGGTATTTAAAGGTATATAAAAGATCTCATTAAAAGCGGTTCTTTTAATGGGGAAGCAATATGCGGGAAGATATGATGTCCTCAGTTGGCTTGGTTTCACAACTAATATAGCATGTGGTCATAATGTTATGCCTGTTTACGGTCAGAACCAAAATGAAATAACTGCTTTAATACATAAAACAAAAAAAAATGGCTATTAAAAAATACTGATAAACTGTGCTTAAAGGACATATTTTTGTAAATATTTTATCATCTGCATAAAGACGAATCCAGATGAAGTCTTGTTGTCCTTGGTCAATGCTATCAGTTTTCAGCTCAGTCTTGCTGTCTTTAAATCTAAATTTTCTTGTATTTAGTTAAAGTGTCTTAGGTTATATTGAGTTCACTTCTGATTGGTATAATATTTTACTTTGTTCTGAGGCCGTTGGAGTCTTTATCTCCAAAGAATTTCATGCTAGCTCATTAAAAATGTTTTCAGGTTAGTGATTTTAAATCTTAAGATTCTTCAGCTTGCTCTTGTTCTGTGTATCCATTCTTAATGAGCAAAGGCGCTAATTCCCTTTAGTTTATAAGTCTGTTGAATAAAACAAAGGGAGAGCAAAGGCGTGCGAGAGGGGAAAAGAAAAAGACTTGAGATGGTGTCCGCTGAGGATAGAGAAGGAAGGAGGAACTGGGTAAAGGGAGGCACTGAAAGTGGTTAATTAAAAAAGTTGCTCTGCTGGGTGGACCACGCTTTGGCTCGCTGGATGTTTTGAGGTCTGAATGGTTGGGGCCGCAGTCCTGCTTAAATTCCTGCTAAAGCAGGGATAATCCCCCATCAGGTCATCCCCCAATGGGGGCCTTGGCGCACACTTTCAGCCGTGAAGAGGGCCAATCAGGAGGAACGGCTTTGACGGAATAGAAATTACCCTGGAGAGCACTGCCGCAGTGGTCTTTGTCTCTCACCCACTCTGCTTCATGTATTTTTCTTCCATTCAGCCAACAAAAAAGATGTCTGTCCCGTGGACAGAGCCTCTGACAATAATCAAATTTATTTTGGACTAAGGGAAAGAAAGACAAAAGAGAGTCCTTAGTAAACATTTTATAATAAGACTGTACATGTTGTATTTTGGAATATTTTAAACAAACTGCACCGATATAGATAAACCAATGAGAAAAAAACAAGTGGACACTACACTTTTTATCTTCTCTTTAATAATCATTTAATATGATTCAGCTTGATCAAGTGTCTGAATGTTTCTTTCCTCCCTTTAGCTTTGTTTGTATTCCTCCCCAAAAACTGCAAACTAATGAAAACAAACCACTCATTATCCCATCACACCTTCAAAGGGAGAGAGGGCGTCCGTCCTCCGCACCAGCCAATCGATCCCTTCTGATGTAAAAAGTGGTTTTGATCGGCAGCGGTTGCTATTGACAGCAGACGTCCTCTGCCCGCCGGAGACGCCTCACTTCAAACGAGATGATAATTCTAGAGAAAAAATAGACCGAAGCATATAGATTGGATGTCAGTACAGCCTCGTGGAAACCAACCGTAGACACACAGAAGTGTAAGAACACGATGGCCTGAGGCAATACAGAGCTTCTGCCCCTGTAATTGCAGTGGAAGTACCCGATACTGAGCTCTATTGTTTACTGTCTTCTCTTTTAGAAGTCTAAGTGAGAAAACAAAACCCAACTCTATTTCTTTAACTAGCTGAACAAAAGGGTTTGGAAGATCTCCAACAATCAGCATACACAGGATAAAGAAAAATATGTTTTGCCTTCTCTTTTATTTCAGAATACCTCGTTATCTCATTTTAATATGCTCACTTTGTTGATTCTCTCTGAAGCATGTATCTTTATCTGCTATTCCCATTGTAAATGCTTGTGATATTAAAACATAAAAGTTATTTTTATTCATTGGTCGTTTCTTTATTCATGTTGGTTATAAAAAGAAATTTTAAAAAAACTGTCTTGGAAGACGAGTCTGTAGAAGGCCTGCTACTCTAGTGCACCAAGATAGGCTCACCCTCATGTAAAATTCTTCATATATCCTGCTGTAGCTTTCTCATAATCAATGTTTTATTGTGATTACGCTCAGATCTATAATCCATGCATCTCTATTTTGATCTTCAGGGAAGAGCGGGAATTTGCCAATGGATCCATGTGCCTGGAGTGCGACAGCCAATGTGAGAAGATGGACGGAAACAGCCTTACATGTCTTGGCCCCGTAAGAAACCTCCTGATCGAATGAAGCTTGTTTTTGTTGTAACATATTGTTAGGAATGCAGAAAAAATACTTCTCCCATATGTCTCTGGAAGATACAGCATATCTCATATCTTCTTTAAGCTAGAGTGAAATCATATTGGAGCCTTTCTGTTTTCTGCATTGAACTTGAGAGAGATTTATAGAGTTTGCTAAGGTGGATGGATGATGATGAGAGCAATGATAAACTAGCACTGCTGCATACATGACTGCTAAAGACTATGCAGCTAATATAGCAAATTGCTCCAAAAACTTTCACACAAACATCATGTATTTTTAAACAGCATAATGGCAAAATACTATACATGCAATTTTTTTTTCTAGTGCAGGAATTATGGTAAACAGTTTTGGGAATTATGCTCGAAACATCAGTAGGTACGATGTCCACAACATTTAAAGCTACAGTGTGTAATAATTACAGGGATATACAGTCAGAAATGTAATATATTATACATAACTATGTTATTTATCATCATCTACGAGCTCAGCCTCTTAACCTTAATATTTGCGTTGCCTTAGAATTCGTTATTTATAATTACATAGGAGCGGGTCTCGCAGCCATGGAGGCAGACATCTTTGCGCTACGGCAGCGCAGAGCCAACAAACTGGCGATTGCGAGATTGCCCATTACACTCGAAAGTAACTACGGCAAAATGAGAGAGATGAACTGAGACGGTACTGAACAATAGATACTAAATACTACAATAGATACTAATAAATACTATCTGTAAAATTATCTATGTAAACAAACCTCATTACTTGAGAAGGTAGGTGATGCGGACGTCGTGGAAGACATTTTGTCCCGTAACGCTCGCCGTACTGTTGGGGGGAGATGCGGTGGGAGGGAGATGTTCATGTTGCTGCGGTTTGCAGTCTGGACGTTAGATGTCGCTGAAAATTACACACTGTAGCTTTAAGTGTCAAAGAGAACAAAAGGAAATATATGGAGTGAATTTGGTTGCATTATTAAAAAAAAAATAAAAATACAATACAAAAATGAAACTTTGAAAATCTTAATATAAAAAAAAATGCTGTTTTCTCAGATTTCTTTCAAATGTGAATTTGAAAACTTGTATAATAGAAAATAGTTTTTACTCTCAAAAACGTTTTTGATTATAACATTTTTCAAAGTTTTACTTCTGGATTTCATTTTTTTTTTATATATATATACCGTATATCAATTTACACAATGTGTTTAGGTTTTTTTGTTTATTTTTCATTTATAAATTTAAATTTATTAAAAGTGTTTTTTGCCTTCCACAATAACAGAACAAAATTCACTCCATAAAGAGGAAGTGTAAGGAAGTGAGAAACATTGGCAAAGTAATACACAACTGCTTTTGGGTAAAAACACAAACTAAAACACACATCACAGAAAAGAATGCCATGTTGTCCAATGACAGACCAGACTGTCGTGTGGTAAAATCCAGTGATCCGTATCAACGGCGTCTATATGTGTTGACGAAAGCCATTTGAAGCACCTAGAGTTGGTTGCAAGCGGTGTGTTTTGTGGCTTAAATGTTCAGTCAAAATATTGGAACCATTGATGCTTATTTCATGACATAATAACAACAAAGCCCATTGTTTGCGTCTCACTATCACTTTTCTTTCATGTCTTGTCTCAGGTTTGTAAAATTCAACTGAAATTGAAAGGCGGCTTCTTTCCATTTCTTTTTGCATTCATTAGGCATTGACTAACCATTAGCCAATAATTGTTGAAGGGGATAATTGGTTAATTGTTGGCTAACCGTGCTCTGATTAACTCTCAACTGAATAATTGGTTTATTATTGGTGTCTATTAGCTGCTAATTAGTCACTATTAGCTAGACTGGATCCAACAGAGTTTTTCTCTACAAATGCTTTGACAACAATAGCAAATAAAACTTCTCATAAAATGTGGAGACAGTGGATCTTTCTCTTAATAAGGAAAAGGTGTAATTTTTGTATATTTATGATAAAAAAAATAGCTTTTTATTAGTTTGTCAGATTAAAGTATTGCATGCCTAGTTTATTGCCCAACCTAGAATAAATCCAATAGTTTACAGCTCAACATTATTTAGAGTAAACCCAAAGTTTATTGTGTTTGACCGTCTTTTTTAATGATGTCTAGCATGAATCAGTGGTTATTTTTTTTGTCCTGTGAATATTCATTTCTGAAA